CGTGCGTGCGTGCGTGCGTGCGTGCGTGCGTGCGTGCGTGCGTACGTGCGTGCGTGCGTGCATACGTGTGTGTTGTGTGTAAAAATATATTTGGGTAGTAAAAAGAAATCCATTATTTTTCCATTCAATTTCATGCAAAAATAATGGATTTCTTTTTACTACACCTAATATTATATATATATATATATATTATTCTACTATTGAATATTCACTCAACTAATTTTTTAAAAATTCTTTCGACTCTTTTTTGATTTTATAGTTATTCTATTTATAATCACGATATTTTTTAGTAAATCTATTGTATATCGTTAAATCTTTAATAACTTTAATATTTAATAACTTCAAAATTTTGAGTGGAAGAATGTTATTTCACTATAATAGAAACAAGAATCAAAAACAATAACAAATCCCAAGGTAACTAAGTAATAACTCGTGGCATTTCATTCCTTGAAGGACGAAGAAATTCAAATAGTAAGAACATAAGAATATTTTCAGAAATTGACACGTGAATACGTTTTACTTCTAATTCGATTTGAAAAGTTTCTATCTTGAAGAACTATTAAGATATTATTAGACAAGCATATCTTTGTTCTTTCAGTCGGAGAAAATCAAAGAAGGATCGCCTCCCTGCAGAGACTTTTGTAGTCAAAATTTACGTGAGAAAGTGAACATGTCAGTTAAAGAGAGAAGATCCGAAGAAAAGGAATCAGAGGATCAAGATGACAATCGACGGTTGGACAGAACGAAACTCATTGCGACGCGAGAACCCATCGATAATCCGGCCAGTCCTGAGTTTGACAGTTCATTTTACAGTAATGTGAGCTGCAACATTCGTGAGAATCTGCTGCACCATCTGGATGGTAAGCTGCAGACGATAAGCAGCGCGTCATCCTCGACGTGCACACCACCGATTGCTACCTCAAACTCGACGGCGACGATGACGGAATCAAAATCGCCGCAACAACAATCGCAACATACATACTACGAGCACAACGTCAATCAAATCCAATTTCCCATCGATATCTCACTGACCGCGGCGACTCCGGTTTACAGCAAAGACTATTCGGCCAGCGAAGAGTATGAAAATTCGAGTGAATATGCCCGGAAAGCCGGTAAAATGAGCAGCGGCTCACGACCGCGTCGAGTCTCTTTCGAGAAATATAATTTCCCGCGAAAATACGACGGCAGGGAACAATGGACATGCTCGATCAAGGACCTCAGCAAGTTCGACATCTCCACGCAGCTAACACTTCGAAAGAAGCAGCAGCTTATTAAGGAGCGTCTCGCTGGTAGCAGACTACATCAGACTCAGTTGCTATCCTGTGAAGTATCTCTTCGCGATCAGAATCAGACCGAGCTTGTCATCGAAATGGCAGTGAGAGATCAAAATAACGCTGATGATAACGATGTGATCGATATAAGTGCCGCGACTCTCGATGTCCGCGACTGCGATGGCGAACTGCTTCCAAGCGAGATTAAAAAGGAACCAATTAAAGAGGAACCCGAGTCATCCGCAACTTCGATGTCGACGATTATTACGGAATTCAGTGTTGAATTCGCAGATTTTATGAGACTGAGAAGACGCGAGGAAAACGACAATGAAGTCACTAATGCTCAGGGGATCGTTTATGCTGAACTGAGCGGCGAATGGTCACGAATGCGGATCTACATCTGTGGCGCTTGTGGTTCCAGACATGTAAGTATATAGCTTTTACATTATATACATTTTTTTATAATATCATATTCTGTTAAAAACAGAAATATGATAAATATTATATATTAAATATTATATATTAAAAACAGAAATGTAATAAGGGATATCACTAACAAAATTAATTTATTATTGATAATTGCAATAATTTAAATCTTAGCATTTATTTTTTCGAAAGACGTAATTGTTTCTCATACATTTCTTATCCTCTCAATGTTTTATTTCTTATAATCGAAATATTAGGTTGACGAATGCTTATCCATTACAATATTATCAAAGATGCATCTTTATAGTTCTTTTATAGTTCTTTTATAAAATGATTTAATAAATATAAGATTTCTATTTCAATATCTTAAGCGAATAAACAGAACGTTTAATTGTATAATTTTGATATTTCAAATTTATTAATTGAATTTAATATAAAACTTTATGATTTTTTAAACAAGAAAATATCAATTTTCAAATATATAACGATACATGAACAGATACATGAATAGATGAAAAAAACTGTGAATTATAAAAGATATCTGGCAAGTTTTTATATACGATTTTAAATATTACTGTCGTATTGCAAATGATGCATTTTCATTAGTACGAACGCGGTCTAGATAATTTATCAAGCAACGTACTTGATCTTTGACATTCGTGCGATACACATACGGACCGGATGGTAAGCGTTCGCAATGAGTCTTCTAAATCACGGATTCACTCACGCAATTTTGTCTCTACAATGATCAATTCTTTCCCGTATACAAAGCGAATAATTTATATCTAATGAAATATCTATAATGCTCTGAATCAGAATAAAACTTCTTCTTATTACCATTTTCAGTAGTAACATAAAATCAACAGTAACATAAAAATAGCTTATGTATATGCTGTATTATCGAGGGAAATACCGGAGGAATCCGTATATCTACATCTTCTGCGTTGTTAGCGTTAATTAGATTTACAAGAATTGAAATATTACATATTCGATATCGATTGAGAAATGAAACACCAAGCAGAAATGCAACTTGAACCGTCGATATTTTTGTGCAGGTAACACTCAAGGAGATGGAGGATCACAAAGCTTCCATGCATCCACGTATCCTGTGCTCGCACTTCGACCTGGCCGGCGATCAACGCGAGCACTACAAGCATTTGTATCTACCGGGACGAGATGCACCTACCGATGCTGCACGTAACGACTCTCTCGAGGAGATGGTATGCACCAAATGCGCTAAGAGTTGCCCGAACATGGGTGAATTGCATCGCCACATGTTAGAGTGTGGAGGTGATCAGGCTTGGTTGCTCGGCCTCACCGGTAGTGGCAAGAAGAAGTGCAAGTGGCGGCCGTTCGGTAGCCGCAGCCGTCGACGGCGTCAGCGCGGCATGAAGAGAAATATACAGAACTCGCAAACGCAACTGCAACCACGGATTGTCAACACGGAGAAACCCAAAGAGAAACAAACACCGACCGGCCCTAGAGTTCGCCCGAGTGACCGTAAGAATGAAATTTGCTTTTAGAACGAAAATGCTTGATGTGAAGTCAACCTAGCTTTTTCATATTGTTTCTTATTTTGTGTACTTTATGTAACAGG